GACTAGGGGTTTAGGGTTTAGGGTTTTACGGTTTAGGGGTTTAGGGGTTTAGGGTTTAGGGTTTGGGGGCTTAAGGGTTTAGGGGTTTAGGATTCGGGGTTTAGGGGTTACGGGTTAAGGTGTAGGGTCATCGGGTTCGACCCGGTTCTGATGTCATAGAATCCCTCTCGCCTTGTACCTGGACCACCGACTCCTAGAGATTCCATCTCAGACTCCCTAAACCCCTAAACCCTAAACCCCTGAACCCTAAACCCCCAAACCCTACACCCTAAAGCCCCTAAATCCCCTATACCCTAAGCCCCGAAACCCCTAAACCCCTAAACCCTAGAAACCCTCAGCTCAAAGCCGTTAAGCCCTCCAAGGACCCTTTAGAACCTACGGGTGTATCATCCCTTCCCATGGGTTCCTTAGAAAAGTCGCTTAGGTTTCTGAGGTTCTTGTAAGCCTGACTTCAGTATACTAACGGTTTAAAGCTATAATTGCCTCAAAATGGGGTTGTTAAGGAAACTTTAGTTTCCCCATTATAAACTCCATCTACTAAGTCCCATGTTTCTTTAACTTAGCACTTTTTTGTGTTGTTGAGGTCTCCAGTGTTGTGGGCTGTCAACTCGTTGAGGGACCCGGAGTTTCGTGTCTTGGAGGTCTGGAGAAGTAGAAAGAACCCGGTTTAGGGTTTAGGGTTTGCCTTTCAGCTCACCCAAATTCAAAGCCATTCATTCAGATGATCATCAAAACCTCTACACTGTCACTCTTCGGATTTCTAATCATGTTCCGACCTACAATATAAGCTTTCTACTGATGCTCGGTTTAGGTTTCCGAGATCCTGCCGACAGAGTCGAGAGTGGTCATCAGAAATCGTTATGAGAGCATGTCTTGTTCCGGATCCAACAGACACATAGGGTTTCGGTCGTGGGTCTCTTGCGCACAAACGGAGAGCTTTCAGGCGTTAGGCAGGGGTCTGAGGTTGTTAGTGGGGTGGCTTTGGCCCAGGGTTTTATTGCCCAAAGGGTCCAAAGTACCTACATAGAAGAATGTAGGGTTTCTATACTAGGAATCCTGGTTTTGGAAGGTATCCTCCCAGAGCAGTACCTAGGACTCTTTGGGTTGGTTTCAGGTCTCAGGCGAGAATAGGATCTCCTCTAAACCCGAAACCCCGAACTGAACCACCCGGCACCCTGGCGGGGTCTGGGTTGTCTGGCAGCCTGCCGGGGCTGTCTTTGGAGGGTCAAGGCTACACTAAAGAAGAAATCTCTAATCATCACCCAAGAAGCTTGGAACACTCAGCACCCAAGACTTTCGGAGTGAACCCATTGTCTTAACATCAATTACGAAGCACCATGGGCGTGCATGTATGAACATTCATTTTGTGCGCGTGCGTGTATCTACCAGTACGTGTTTTTTTATGTACGAGGGTATACTATAGACTAAGGGGTTGGAATACTTGCACATATTGGTGTCCCCTTGTACTTCACAGTATACCTATGCAGTATATTGTAATTATCATGTTAGACAAACCCCATAGTCTACTTCTTGAGGCCCCTACACTATACCCCTGTGTTAACCAGATTAACCTTCGGTTTCATGCAACCGGAGCAAAAGCGGGAATGCAAGGCAACGAAGAGAAGCTGACGCGAATGGTGGAGCTGCATCAAAATGCCCACGCATCGTCGCTGCGGTCCCTACTCTTCTGCGTCACTTTCGGGAGGCAGAGCGGCAGAGATATTGTGAGCTCTGTAGTGACCACGCACTTAGGTCTGTAACTGGGTTTGTAGGGCGGGAGGGGTTTCCAGATGCTGAAAGGCTTCCTTTGCTGCACCGGGCAGGCAAAAGCTCCAGGTGATGTTCGAAGAGATCCTGCGCTGCTGCATGGTCTCCCATCCAAGAATTAGACTAGGTGACTAGGCGGGCTACTGGGATTCTTTCTTCCCTTCAGTGGAACTTAAGAGTGTCAGATTCGAACTGTTTCTTCATCGAGGCTCCATGGCCCGACCACAGAAAGCTACCCGAATGGTTTAGGGTTTAGGGTTTATGGTTCAGGGTTTATGGTTTAGGGTTTATGGTTTAGGGTTTAGGGTTTAGGATGCTTAACCGTTTTAACCCAAGCCCTCAGCCAGAGATGCTTCCTGGCCTTGAGCCCTCAAGCTGCGCAGGTCCAACAGCTTCCGACATCCGCCTTTCCGGCTTTGAACCCTTAATCTCCTAGTTTCTATTGATTAAATATAGTGGCCTTAAAGAACTACCTATACTATTTTTGGGTGGGTTCTTTAAAGTAAAATATACCCCAAAACCCGAGTCTAATTGTGAAGGCCCCGAGAACCATGGGCTCCGAATCCTGCACCCCTACCCCTAAACCACCAAAAGCCTCCTGTTTTGTAGGGTCCCAACTTGGAGGTTCAGTTATCCTACTTATAACTATGCATGAACCTCCAAGTACCTGGGACTCTAATTATTACCTACAGTTTTATGGTTTCTACCTACTAAGTACGGGGTATTGGCTGGGAAACTGTAGGTGAAGGGAGTCATAAGTTACACCCTACACCCTAAAAAATGATCCGAACGGTCGGTTTTTCCAGGAGAGCCTCATACCAGCCATCCATTCGCAGCGAGAGGAGGCACCGGCTGACATGAACTAGATACGGGCAATGGTAGGGTTTGGGGGGTGAGGGGATTAGGGGTGTGAGTTCGGATTTAGGGGTTGCGAAGTTTGGGAGTTTAGGGGTTTAGGTTTTAAGGTTTCCAGGCTTATGGCAAGCCATCGGATAAGTCATTTCCCAAAAGCCCGAAGCGCCAGACCATCGGCCCTAAGCCCGAATCTTATAAAACCCTAAACCCAAGAGTCCCCCCAAAAGATAACCAGCCTCCGAACTCAAGAACTTAGGAGCCCAAGAGGTAGACTTTAAGCCTTTTTTGGTATGTTAAGCCCCTACTAAAAGAAAAGTTTAAACTTTTTGGGGCCAGGAAACCCTAAACCCTAAACCCTAAACCCTAAAACCCTAAAACCCTAAACCCTAAAACCCTAAACCCTAAAGCAGAACAAAAACGCCGCTTCAGGCGGTGCGCCGAGCCCCGCCTCCCGGGCCCCCCGGTGCTGGCAGCCCTTCGCCGCAGGGCAGCAGCTGAAGGGCACTGCTCTAATAATAATGATAATAACAATAATAATTATAATAGTAGTAGTAATAATAATACTAATAATAAGAGAATTTTAATAAGAATAAAGTACTAGTAATAATGCTGCCAATATTAATACTATTAATACTAATAAGACTGTTAATCATGATAAGAATACGAGGTCTTTCCGCGGGCCGTGTTTCTCTTTCTGTGGTCTTAGGTTCCTTCTAAAGCTTGGTTAGACATAGACGTAGGCAGAAAAGAATATATATATATACATACACGCAGAAGCATGTGTTGACCATATCACGAGCACAGGGAAGGAGAACAGCTTCTGACATCAACAACGGTATCAAACAAGATTGGGAGGCAAGCATTCATGGAGGTCGGAAAGGTCTTGCATGTCTTTTCATGGTCTAGGGTTTGGGGTTTATAGGATTTTGTTTTTGGGATTTTGTTTTTAGGAATTTATAGGGTTCAGATGTTTTTTTTGTTCGGAGTTTGCGGTTTAGGGATTTTGCAGTTCGTAAAGGCTCCCCTGTCAAGGGGGTGCCACAGGGTCTCATGGGCTTCCCTTCACAGAGCTCAGGCGCCCTGTCTAAGACGCCAAGTCGCCCACAGCAGGTTCTGCTTCTGGACTTTTGACCCCAAAGCAGGTAAAATTTGTAGACTGGGAGTCTGAAAGTGAGCCAGCGCTTTCCAAAAGTTAGAGGAATTAAGGGTTCAGGTGCGGAGTGTCTGGCATATCAACAGTAGTTCATAGGAGTTTGTTGTTTGAGGCTTCGAGTCGAGGGGCAGCTCAGGGTCATTCTTGAAGGTCCTGATGCAAGCATAGGGGGGCCTAAATAAGAACATGTAATTAATGTGTCCCCATACTCCTTAGAGTTCATGCTTTTATCTATATTGCAATATACACCCCAACACTCTATTCTAAGTATTCAGGACCCCAGCTTAATCGATTGGACAGAGCAGACATCCGTGAAACACACGGCCCTTGAACCTGGACACTCCAAATTCACCCAAGCTATTGGGATCCGCAACAATAAGGTAATAAGGACCTTACTTGTTTTCGGAGAGGGCAGGGGGGGCATTTAAATTCGACCCTAAACCCTAAATCCTGATGGGGTGCTGTGCCCGATTTGGGTGTTCTGTCGGGGCTTTGAAAAGTTAGAGTTTGTGGTTTGTGGTTTGTTTAGGGTATTTTCGGGTTTAGGATGTAATTCGAAGGCTTTGCAGTCTTTAAACACGCACCCCAAACCCAAGATCTAAAAGGCCATGCTTGCTTATTTTCCCTACGGTAAGGCCTGGAACCCCGAGTGCTAAACCCCCAGGTGCCATAGGCTTAAACCCGTAAGCCGAAAGGTGCTCGGTAAATACGGATCGCAAAACCTCTGAAAGCGTTCCTAGTGATAACTTTCACATTCCACATCTCCTAGACTTTGGAATCCCAACTAGAATGTCTGAAACCCGTAAATCCTCGAGAGATGTTGAGCCCTTTTCGGGTCGAATTTGCAAACTACCAGTAGCATGGACACAAACACATACCTTAAACTGCCATAACCTACTTTTTGGTTGGTTTCTTATTGCAAACTTACCCTAGTACCGAATCTGTAGGGACCCTTAAGCTACCGAAAACTAGGTTTAGGTAGCTTAAGGTTTGTGCACAGCTTAAAATCCTCACCCTCAGCAGCTTACGAGCCTTTCTCAATGCCGCGATACACCCAACAGTCATGAAATTTCACAAAGCAAGCTAATGTTAAACCCACCTGCAACAGAAGGTCTCCAGGACCCTGCCCTAAATCTAATTCTAAGCCCTAAGCTTATACTTATATACCCTATATACTTGTATACCCTATTGTAAGCCTCAAACCCCACTTATTTCCATCTCCGAGGCCCGGCGCCGGCTTCCGCCCCCGCGCACGCCGCTTAGAAGATGCGCCTCCAGAGGCTGCAGAGCTCTCCGTGGGCGATCTCGCCTCTTGCTTCTTCTTTAGTGCATTTAGGAATTATTGTCACTTTGTCATGGAGTTCGAGTTTGAAGGGATCACTTAAAGAATAGTGTTCTAATGTGGTCTTTTCTGGAGCTTACTTCAGCTTGAGGGTTTGCACGAGGGTGTGTTTGTAAAGTTGAGAGCTGTGGTTCAACCGTTCTGCAGCAGAGGGATCCTTCTTTGATGAAGAGGCGGTATCCTAGCGATGCTACCCTGTCGGGCTTACGCTGCACTCCGGGCTCCTAGTTTCTGAAACTCGCATATGATAACGATCAAGATCTATATCTTTACAATCGATATATACCCTTAACTATCGGCATGCCTCTCTCACTGTGTAAGCAAGTATGTATGGATGGATGGATGCATGCACGGATGTATGTATGTATGTATGTATGTATGTATGTATGTATGTATGCATGTATGTATGTATGTATGTATGCATGTATGTATGCATGTATGCATGTATTCATGTATGTAGTTACGCATGCATGTAGGTTGGGCGGTAGGTAGGTAGGTAGGTAGGTAGGTAGGTAGGTAGGTAGGCAGGCAGGTAGGTAGGTAGGTAGGTAGGTACGTATGTCTGTATGCATACATGCATGTACATATGTACAAGGTGTGCATGTACAGGTTGTAATATAGATATGCAAAAGTAAATCTACATGTATATACATGTCTGTAGTGTTTATTTACTTCTTTTGCACACATACATGTTTGCATAAAATGCACCTGTACAAATACCAATGGACCATGGATAGATTTAGTTGGATATTCAATCTCAGCCGAAGGCTGTCGTCAAGCTTGTGGTTTGAGGGTTGAGTGCTTAAGGTTGAGGGTTTACGGCTTAGGGCTTAGGGTTGAGGTCTGGCTTTAGGCTTTAGGGTTTATGCTTGAGGTCTTAGTGGCTTGGATGGTCAGTTATGAAGCTTGAGTTCGGAGCGCGCTTCCTGGGCAGGACCCTAAACCCTAAACTGCTAAACCTTAAACCTCAAACCCCTAAACCCCAAACCCCGAATCCCTTAGCCCTAAACCCTTAAGCCCCGTGGAGTCTTCTCCAATTTGGAGGAAGGGACCCCGGACAAGCCAGCAGGAAGTTGTCAGTGTATGTGTGGTCTACGGTGATTTGAGGACTCCTAGACAACCCTAACCCAAGACCGCTCAAGACTACCTAAGGTTTTCTTCTGTGTTTTAGCATTCTGACCCTAACGCACAACCTTACAACACTACCTAAGGCTTTCTTCTGTAGTGTAGGAACCCTAAACCCTAAACCTTAAACCCAAAATCCTAAACCCAAAACCCTAAACCCAAAACCCTAAACCCTAAACCCAAAACCCAAAACCCAAAGCCCTAAGCCCTAAACCTTCTGAGATAGAAAGAGGAAGCCTGGTCCTACTATTGCCGCCTGCGAAGGTCTGCGTGCAGGGGCTGGCTTCTGCAGCGCAGTACAATGGGGAGAACGGCACTGTCCGAAATCTGAGGCACCGGGGCTTAGGGTTTAGGGTTTAGGGTTTAAGGTGTGTTTTGATATGTCTTTTGGAGCGCCTCTGCCTTGGAGGTTACAATAAAGCTAAGCCCCTGCAAACCCTAAACTATAAACTTGCACCCCAGAGACTAAACCCTCAACCCCCGAAAACCCCTAAACCCCCAAACCCCAAACGCCTAAACCCTACAGCCCAAACCCTAAAGCCCCAAAGCCCCATGCCAGGCCAGATGGGCGGATCGAGATCGAGCTCGTCTTGGACCACCCTGACCCATCGGGCTCTCCGAGTCCGAGTCCCCAGTCAGGCCAGAGCTTTAGCGTTTTAGGGTTTAGGGTTCAGGGTTTAGTGTTTAGGGTTTGGAGTTCAGGGTTAAGGTTTTCAGGTTTAGGGTTCAGGGTTAAAGGTTCGTGGTTTAGGGCTTAAGGCTTAGAGGTCGGGGTTGTAGGTTTAGGGTTCCGGTTCTAACAATAGACGTCTATCACATTCAACCTTAAACTCCAAAACCCTAGTCCCTGAACACCAAAGAACTTGACAAAAGAATCACAAGAAACACGGTTCGTTCATAAGCCTCAGAGTCGCCCATTCTGTATCGAAGCTTGAATAAACATAAGAAATGTTGAGGCCCTAAGTGTATTGTTGAACTCTTATAGAGTCCTTAAAGGGACCTTGAAAGGGAGTTTCTTCTAATTCTACCGGCCCCTGTGCTCTGCCCTCCCAAACGAAGAGCAGAGCCGCCTTTTCCCAAAACCCCTCTTGTGAACTGCATCGCTCTACAGGATAGGGGCTGGAGGACTGGCGTCTTGTTGAGGATTGAGGTTTGGGGTTGGGGGCCTAGGTTAAAGATTTGGATTTGGGCTTTAGGGTTAAGGTTTTGGGTTTGGGGTTCGGGGTGTAGGTTTAGGATGTAGGAATTGGAGACCGGGAGCATTTAAGAGATTTTCCTTACTGAACCGACCAAAACCTACTTTTCTGTGAGGTCCCTAGAGAATCTATATTGGGGTCGTATTAGGGCCCTACAAGAAGTAGGTTGTGATAGACTACGGTCGATTACATGAGATGTCGTCCGGAGCCTGGTAGCTCAAACTAAGCTGCTACATTCAAAAGACCCAGAGCTCTTATCATGCCTCATATAGCTTGGCAACAACTCTGAGGTAAAACCCTAGGAGCCCGGACCGAACTCCTATAAACCCTTAACCCACACCCCTAAGGCCTAAACCCTAAACGCAGGGAAGAAGAGAGGACACACCTCGGATTTCGCTGTGGAGTCTTCGGGGCATGCCGGCCATGCCCATCCACCCCAGTGTGGGCACAGGGTGCTACGACTACCATTACGGGTGCCGCAAGGCGTGCTCGGGGCACCCACCAGGTCTTCCGACTGCTGGCCGAGTGTCCAGCGCGCGGAACGCTGCCGGTGGACTTGGGCCTGGAGGAGGTGCCCTTCTCCGGAGACTTCGACCCGAAACGTCTGCTTATGTCAGGATTTCGCCGAGGATGCTCAATTACAGCGCTCCCTGACCGGGAGATGGCTAACGAGAAGCAGCGGACGCACCAAGAGCTGCAGGTCCTGCCAGCGCCGGAGGCATTACTCACACGGTTCTACAAGGGTTGCCCGGGAGTTCCGAGAGGGTCCATATATGCTATAAGGCGATAGGGCTTTACTTGCAGGGATTGAGGGGTTTAAAGGCTTACGGTTTAGTATGGCTAATTGTCTTGGATCCAGAAAGTCCGCCTTAATTCATGCTGCATAATGCTTAAAGTAGGAGGGATCTACATGTGAAGGGGTGGTGGATTCTTGCGGGTATATTTCCGACCGAGTATCGCAGCCCTTTTCCCCCGAACTCTAAACCTAAAAACACCGCCCCAACCCCAAGCCCTGGGCCTAAACCCGAGAAACCTTGAGCCCATCAACCTCTTGCAAAGGGTCAAGCCCCAAGCCCTACACTCTAAGATCTTGACCCTCTACCCTAGACCTTACTTGGTAGGCGTAGTAGGGAGCCTAATTGGGGGTATGACACTTATAACTCCATAAAATAGCTATTTCCTAAGTCCCCCGACCCTCCAAGTATAGACCCTAAAACCCTAAACCACTAACCCTAAGATTTAAACCCTCTACCGACCTTGTAGACCCTAAACCCTCGATCCCAAAAGTCTGGCAGGCTCCTTGCACAGCAAAGTTCTGGCGGTTCGCCCTGAGAACCTGTGGGGGCCTCGGCGTTTCAGGTGCAAAATCCAGAAGAGAGTTTAGGGTTTAGGGTTTTAGAGTTTAGGGTTTAGGGTTTTCGAATTTAGGGTTGAGGCGTTTAGAGTTTCGGGTTTTAGGGATTTAGAGTTTATAACGGTTTAGGCTTTTAGAGTTTAGGGTTTAGGCTTTTAGAGATTAGGGTTTAGGGCTGAGGTTTTAGAGTTCAGGGTTTGGGGCTCCTAAGCAAGGGACCTTAAGCTCTTTCCCTCCTTGCACCCTAAACGTTTATCACACAAGACCTCATCCCTATAAACCCTGGAGGTGAAGTGGCGAAACTCCCTAGACCACCGAAACTCTATGACGTAAACCCCAAAAGTGTACGGTTTTTAGGGTTTTAGGGTTTGTCAGCCAGAAGCCCTAAATCTGTGTTGGAGGTTTGTAAATCCCACAACCCTAAACCTGTAATTAGGGGTTTCTGGAGGGTTTAGTATGGCAGGTTCTTGCGGGCTTGAGGGCTGTCAAGCAAGAAAAATTGCCGCGAGTAGAGCCACAGCCATGTATCGTATGTTCGCCGGAGAGCCTGAAGCATAAGTATTGAGAGCCTCGAAGGAATCTCAGAGTCGAAAGCGTCCAAGGGCAAAGTTTAGGGGTCTACGGGCTTAGTGTTAAGGACTTGGGCTTGTAACAATAATAAAAGGTACTCCTATACTCTGCATATACTCTGCGACCTTTACCTGCACAAAGAAGAGCAACCCCGCCATCGCCATGTAGGACAGAGTCTTGCAAGGGGTTGATGTTGACGGCCTCTTTCATGCAGCAGCAGTTCCAGTTTGTTACTGTCAGCGCGAGCCCTGCCGAAATGCTGAGTCAGGCAGAGACTTGCGACTGCACCGCTGCCGACGCAGTGTTCTGGTCTTCTCGGCCAAGGTACGTCGCCGAGCAGTATCTTCTGGAATTGCTTGCAACGCTCATTGGCAGTTTAGGTTTGTCCTCTCTGTCGTTTGCTTTCTCTCGGGTGGTCTGTCTCACCTCCTTGTCCTGAGAGGCCTGTTTTGAAGCTGCATCTGAGGCTATGTGCTTGTACTAGTAGGTTGCGTCTGTCTCCGGAGATTTCCTGGGAGTACAAGGCTCTTGACTGCTGGTTTGTGGGATTGGCCCGTGATGCTGCTAACGCCAAAGCCTGCAGCATGTAGGATTTAACCTGCAGCCTCACAGCTGCTAGGCGCCGAATCCCTGACGCTGGAGGAGTGCGGGGGGGGGGGGGGGGGGGGCGGCAAATCAATCTTTCAAGTCGGCCCAACCAGGTAAGGCTTTGGCGCCTAAGTTGTTCATCGCTTTATGCGCCGTGAGTTCAGGGTTTCAGGGTTTAGATCCTTTGTTTCATTCTTGGGTGAGCGGCCCTTTCACTTCAAGCTCTCTCTACCGCTCCGCTCTCTCTCTCTCTCT